CTCCCTCTGCTTATACGTGTGCTGGGTTCAATCCTGTGAAACAGTCCTTTTCCACGTTTGCCCCCAAATCAGTGCAGTGCTGTGAAGCTCTGCCTTGCTGTACCTCAGAACCTTTGGTGACGATGGAATGGTCTAGAATCACATGGCTTGGAACCCTCTTGCCATGTTGCTTTTGAATCCTGGGCGTGTAGGTCGGCAGTTGAGGCTTTAAATCTGTACGTTAGTTAATATGACTGGACGTAAAACCCAGCAGCCCGTGTGGGTGGTGGCTGCTGTGATGGACATCTTTTGTCCCTTTCCCTTTAAAGTGCCTGTCACTGAGCTCTCCCCATCCTGCAGTACGACAGGCTGGAGTTTGAACTTTGTTGTACGACAGTGAAAGCCATGGAACAGGATATTCACTTAAGAGAGTAATGCTTTGTGGTGAAAGAAATGTAAGGGGCCTGGAGGGAAGTGTCCTGGAAGGCGTGGGCCCCTGTGGGAGTGAGCGAGGGGCCTGGAGGGAAGTGTCCTGGAGGGCGTGGGCCCCTGTGGGAGTGAACGAGGGCAGAGCGGAGAGCAAGTGTGAGCCGAGCAGGTTCTGAGAAGGCCCTCAGGTGCAGTTTGCTTACTAGAGTGTGGCCGTAGGATGGCGGGTGGCTCTGCTGGTAAATGGGTTTGGAGTTTCTGTTTCTCAGGACTAAGAAGCTCACAGCTGCCATTGCTCTCGTGGTCACGCACGGTTTGGTGTCACGTGCTGGGTAACGGTAGATCCCTTGTGGGATCTACAGGGCAGAGGAAAGTGAGGTGCATGGTACTGGCTATTCCCCTGCAGTGGTGCCGGACACCCAAGAAAAAGCCAAGGGACGGTGGAGGGCTGACTAGGACTCCAGTGCATACTTTAAAGCAAGTCTCTTGGCCATTTGGTTTTTATTTCTCTTATGCTTGGTCTGACCTTACAGCACATAGATAAACAGTGGCTTGTAGATTTTTTTTTTTTTTTTTAAGTAAAATGAACTCAGAGTGAAATTGAGGATCTGCCCTGACCATTTTTAAAACTGGTTTTCAACCTTTTAGAAATGAATACAACAGCCATTTGATACAGCTGAGAAACACCAGAAAGACTGTCCCATGCAGACGCAAGACAGGGTGGCGAATTCAGAAGTGTCACCAGTTAAAGACTACAACTCAGGGAGGTGTGGTGACTCACACCCCTAACCCTAGAGGGGGCAGAGCTGGAGGACGGCTCCAGGCCAGCCAGAGCTCCGTCGCGAGGCCTGTCTCAAACAAAACCATGCATGTACGTGTAGTACACATGTACATGTAGGTATGCTTTCATATGTACACATATTGCATATTGTATTTGTGCACTAGCTATATGTACATGTAGGCATGTTATATGTGGCCAGTGGTTAGCTCTCCATTCCGTTGCTTGGAAAGACGGTGCCTCTGGTGTGGCTGTACCACCCCACTGCACCGCCCCATGGGCTGTCACCGGAGCACTGCACTTTACTGTCTAGGGCCAGATGCAGTGTCACCCCAGAGCAGCACTAAACACAGGGCCGATCCTCACCTCCATTTGCTTAACCTGGTGCTCACCTCAGCATATTTCTACTTTTGAAATCAGTGTATGGTGTGGGTATTTCCTCGGGCGATGAAAATGAAAATGGCCGTTTTTGCTTTTCTGTAGCATTGTACAACTCTTCTGGGGTTAACGGTAATCGAAACCCCCGGAAGTCGTCTTGTAGCAGAAACTACGCTACACTATGCCGCAGGTCTCATGAGTGACGTGCACACCCTGTGGTTGGAGCAGTGAGGGAGATGTGTAGCTGCCAGTGTGAGGCAGAAGGCATACTTAGCTCCTCCGTAGTGGGTTAAAAATGATGCTGTATTTACCTGCATGCAGGAGCCTGTAGCTACCTTGCAGTGAAAACACATTCTATATTTAAATGCTACCTGTTCCAGAAAGTACTTTTTAAAGCATAGTAACTGTAAAGGCGAATTAGCTTGATATTTTTGTAAATAAGTAATAGCAGTAGTACCTCATTCTGTTTCCAGAAACACCTTGTATACTTACATGTAAGAGTAGTGCATTTTCCTGCCCTACAGTTCCCTAAATTTTCTGAATTTGGTGTATTTTCTTATTTTATAGTGTTCATTTATCTCCGTACTTACATTTTTTTCTCTTCAAGCTCGATTCCCCCTTTATTATGTCAGCTTCTTAGATGCTTGGTTTATTTGAAATGATTTGTTATCCAGGAAGTTGCTTTTCCCATACTAGCTCATTAAGTTCTATAGACGGTGGGGTGCATTGGTTTTTTTTTTTTTTTTTTTTTTTTTTTTAATTCTTCAGCCTTGGCTAGTCTCAAACGGTGCCATTTCCACAAATGTCTTAGTATTTTATCTGTTGTATTTGCAGAGGAGAGCAGGGGAACATATTTCTTCTATTTTGAGTTCTTTTTCTAGACAAAGTAGATGTTAGTCAGTGTAGACAAGAAATACCAGTATTTGAAATTCTGAATTAACCCAGTTCATGTACCATCCTCTAGTGTACTTGAGCAATTGATTGAGAATTATGTCATTGCTTTGTAATCTAGACGTGCCACTTGTTTGGAAACTTAAGCAGCTTAAAGTTGTCGTGTGACACGTGCATTTAGCTAGAGCACTGACAGGTGATGGAGAGTGTGTGCCAAGCTCAGAAGGGCCAGGGCGGTGTCTGTTTTCACACCCTCCCCTTGGTCTATCACAATAACCAATTAGGCTCTCAGAGAACCATTGGAATACCCAATTGCCTACTTTTGCCAACTTGTTTTAAAATGCTTCCTAATGAAGTAAGGGACTTAAAGGGTTTAAATAACTGTTTTGTGTTTGGTAGGCTGTTGGTTTGTGAGGAACAAAAACAACCAAAGTTACCCACTAACGGGGAGGGAGGACGGGAGAGAAAGAATACAAATGACCATGGTTAAGCTCTGCTTTTTTCCTGAGGCCATAGCAACACCACTGGTTTCTTTGCCTTACCCACCCGGCTTTCTTTTGCTTCCTCTTGCATGTGCATTTGAGTGACATTTAGTTTCTCCTGGCTCTCTGATTGCATCATGTTCATGTAATTCTACCTTATAGTCCTGAGGAATTGTTAATGTATGCTAATTAGCCCTAATTCGGTTTGGACAGAATATTTATACCCAGGTGTCTACCCATGGACTACCAGTCAGCTTCCATTAGATTGTCTGGATCTTAGCGTAGGCTCATTTAGAAAAGGCGTTGTTATTTTCAGATGAGGAGCCACTGAGTTACTTTTTACATCATGATGTAATATTTCTGATTTTTTTTTATAATTTTAAAAACAATCCTTTCTTTTTTACATACAGTTCCTACTCCCTCCCCTCCTCCTGCTTCCCTACTTACCCCACCCTCACCCCACCCCATCCTCAGAGAGGGTAAGGCTTCCCATGGAGAGTCAATCAGCTCTGGCCCCTTACTGCGAGGCAGGACCAAGGCCCTCCCCACTATATCCAGGCTGAGCAAGGTATCCCTCCAAAGAGAATGGGCTCCAAACAGCCAGTTCAAGCACTAGTGATAAATCCTGGTCCTACTGCCAACGGCCTCTGACAGCAGATTCCCCCGCTGTCAGTCCAGAGTCAGTGAGCTCCCACTAGCTCGGGTCAGCTGTTTCTGTGGGTATCCCCAAAATGGCCTTCACCCCTTTGCTCATAGTACAGCTTCTCCCTTTCTACGACTGGATTCTGGGAGCTCAGCCCAGTGCTTAGCTGTGGGTCTCTGCATCTGTTTCCATCAGTTACTGGATGAAGGGTCTATGATGATAACAGTTATTCTTCAGTCTAATTACAGGGGAAGCCAGTTCAGACTCTCTCCACTGATGTTATGGGTCTTAGCTGGGGTCATCCTTGTAGATTCCTGGGAACTTCCCTAGTGCCAGGCTTCCCGATGACCCCGTAACGACTCCCTTAATCATGATATCTATTTCCTAGCTATCCCTCCCTGTCGTCCCCCCATCTCGACCATCCCGGTCCCTGCTCTTCTCTTCTCCCCTCCCCTACCCCCCCCCACTCCCAAATTTCTCAGAAGATCCCATGTATGTCTCACTTAGGGTCCTCCTTGTATCCTAGCTTCTCTGGGGTCATGGCCTATAAGCTGGTTATCCTTTGCTTTTACATCTGATATCCACGTATAAGTGAATACATACCATGTTTATCTTTCTGGATCTGGGTTACCTCACTCAAGATGGCTTTTTTCTAGTTCCATTTGTTTGCCTTCAGATTCCAAGATGTCTTTGTTTTTTGTACTGCTGAGTAGTACTCCGTTGTGTAAATGTACCACATTTTCTTTATCCATTCTTCAGTTGAGGGACATGTAGGTTGTTTCCAGCTCTGGCTATTGCTAATGATGCTGCTATGAACATAGCTGAGCACATGTCTTTGTGGTGTGAGTGTGCATCCTGTGGGCATATGCCTAGGAGTGGAATTGTTGGGTCTTGAGGTAGATTGATTCCCAATTTTCTGAGAAACCACAAAAGGCTATTTCTCAACTCAGAACTAACCTTTATCATAGAAAATCAAGTGCCTATTTCCCTCCAGTCTTTCCCTGACTAAGGGATTCAAGGGGCCTGCTTGTTCTCTGCACTTAATCTTGCCCAGGAGAAGGAGCCAATATCATTAGAATCTACATGATTTATACCGCGAGATTTAAGTGAGAACAAAATTATTAACAATTCTCAACAATGTTCTACTGTAGCAGTGTACTAACAAGTATGAATTTATTGTGCAGGTCAGTGGCTTTCAGTCCTGTAAACTATAAGCTAAAGTATGATGACTATGGTAGATGTCTGTCCATTTATCTCACATCCACACAACCGGAACTGCTCTTTGACCCGGACCCCAAACTTCTTTGGGGTTACATAATTCTGTTGACTTGTTTATTTGCTTTAGGACATTGGCTGTAAATGTCCACCAAATTTTCTGGGAAGATCATCATAACACATTGAGTTTTTCTTTTACAAACAGGATAAAAGAATTAGAGTGTCTCAACCCCTAACAAGAGGACCAAGTGCCTTTATCCCAGAGAAGGAAGTAAGTTCATCTGTGTTTAATACATTGTCTGCTCTGAAACTAACTCTAAAACTGCATTCATTTTTTTTCATGCAAAAGTAGATGTTTTGCTCTTTATATGTTATTCATGTCAGAAAAATGTGGAGTTGTTTCTTCAGTTTAACTAAGGAAGCCTGAAGGTTTTCAGGTTTGAAGATGCCAGCATGTCATAGTACTTGTATTGCACAATTGGGATAAAGATGCTTTGAAATGAGATAGAGTTTCCACCTTTAAAAGACAGACAAGGCCTTTATCTCCTGGAAGTTAGTGTTTCTTCTCATTTACAAGTTTGATTGACAGGATGCCACAGACTCTCCAGTAATTGCCTTTGTTGAAGGTTTGTTAACGGGATGGTAAGTGCAAGGCAGAGAGGTTGTCAGTGGTGCAGAGTAAGGTTTGTGCCTGTTTTGCTGGTAGACACCTTTGTGGGTGATGACGGTGAGGTCCGGAGCCTTTGCCGTGCCCCTTGGCCATCATTAGACTGAGAAGCACTGCTAAGGCTCGCTTGTGCGCTTGCGGAGTGCCCTGTGCACATGGATGCAGCTGTCTTATAGGTGCTGTTCCCTGGGTGTGCACAGACGCCTTTGTGTGTGGATGTCCAGGACGGGACCCTTACTTCACTTTCCTGTCCCTGCCTTAGTGACCTTCTCATTGAATCAAAACTAAAATGACGATAGTATGCCTCTAAGCTCAGAGGAGGCAGCTTCATGTACAAGGGGCTGCGCCTGCGCGCCTGCGCCTGTGCGCCTGCGCGCCTGCGCGCCTAGGGCTGTACTGTGGGATGGCGGTCTGACTCACTCAAGGGCCCTCCCAAAGCTTTCTTAGGATCTGTTGCAGCATATGCCTCCAGTGATGTATTGTGACCCTCCTGTGAGAACTGGAAACTTCCAGAGAAAGAGATAAAAAATAGTATAGTATTCTAGCCCTGATTATATTTGGGTTTGCATCTTTTTTTTTTTTTTAACTATTAGTGCAGTCCCTCGCGTTGAGCAGGGAAATGGGCCAGTGAGAGAACCCAGGGTTCCATAAGAGCTGACAGTTGCCTTTTGCTTTCATGCCAGCGTAACTAGCATTTCTCCACAGCTTCACTTTCGCATATACTCCTGTTAAGATGAACTCTTTATCCATGAAAGTCCTCTGTATAATGGGTACCTCCCCGGGGACATAGGAGCTGTGAAGCCAGCTCTGAAGAGATCAGCTTGATGGGGTTGTCCTTCTGTGTGTGTGTGATGAATACAACACTGTGTGGCTGTTGGCCAGGCAGGAAGGATGGGCGGGGCTACCAGACAAAGAGAATTCTGGGAAAGGTAGGCAGAGTCAAGATGCTGCCACAGGAGTAAAAACATGCCGGGGCATTACCGGGTAAGCCACACCTTCGTGCTTCGTGGCAATACATAGATTGGTAGAGATGGGTTAGTAATTAAGACAGAGCTAGCCATAAGAAACCCTACTCACCAGCCAACAGCTTTATAACTAATACGGCACCTGTGTGCTTCTTTGGGGCTAAGAAGGGTGTTGGGACCGGCCGGTATAAAGAACCTCTCATTACAGCAATTGGCTGACCACAGGGTGGGTCCTTAAGAACCATCAGCTTCGGACTGCATGGGATCTGGTCAGACCACTTTGCTGTTAACTGGAGCACAAGGTTGGATTAAATCCAGAAGCTCTTCCCAACCTCCAAAATGAGACGCATGTTCACCTCATGTCTACAAGCATAGCTCTAACGTACATGAGAACTAAGACAGTGGTGGGTCCCCCCCCCCATTTCCACATGCGTTAGCACACTCTCACACCACCGTGACACCGTGCTGGCATGGTGTACATGGCTGAATGTTACCTCCTTTGAGAAGAAGCTTCTTTGGTCCCTAGATGGAGGATGTGAGTTCAGTTGTCATGCCTTGTTTTTAGAAATTACTATGATAGGCTTAAACTAGCAATGACAGGAGCTAAGATCCATATTAATTTTCAGCTAGTATTTTCCACAAGTCATCATATGTTCCTGTGTCTCTAAAAAGATTTCACAAAGCTTTTAAAAATACTGGCTAGCAAAACAACAAAGGATCAGATATTTGCCCAAAATAATGCAATTAATTTTCTTTGTCGGTTGATGAGAGTGGGCTGCAAATCCATGTGACCAAATGCTGCTGTTTGTGTGACAATGGCCAGGCAATAGGCTCTGGAGCTTGCCGGCAAAGACAGATGGACCTTTCTTCCCTTAGCTTTATAGCTGCGTGTTTAATGTTTGGTAACTTACCATTTGTTGTTTAATAAATTGTGGTACCAAAGCCAAAACTGAGTGGTACTTTCTCTTTTTAAATTTCTGTTTCTAGTATGAGCAACTGCATAATTTCAGTGTCTGTTAGCATCAAATGAATATGCATTTCTTCAGTAGAGGCAGGGTCCATGTAAACCAAAACTGTCTCTGCTTCTCGGTTACAAGGTTGTCCAAGCAAACACGGTGGATGAACGGACGAACTTTCTTGTGGAAGAGTACTCTACCTCTGGCCGCCTGGACAACATCACACAGGTGATGAGCTTGCACACTCAGTACCTGGAGTCTTTCCTACGGAGTCAGTTCTACATGCTGCGCATGGACGGCCCCCTCCCCCTCCCAGACAGGCACTACATCGCCATCATGGTAGGTACTGACTTCCTGCCATTCCTGCTGCCGCGCGCGCGCGTGTGTGTGTGTGTGTGTGTGTGTGTGTGTGTGTGTGTGTGTGTGTGCATGTATGTGAAGCTGAGTATAGCTACATGGGACAAAGCTGAAGAAACCCGGCCTTTTGAATACACTCAGAGTTTCTTTGAGTCACTTAGTAAGTGTTTAGCATTTAGCCTACAGTAGAATTATTTTTCATACTTAGTTCCTTATGATTAAAGATGGCTTTTAGGTCCGGATTAATCCCTACGGTGTTGCTGTTACTTTGGGGATCTTCTTTTGCATAAGCTGACCGTGGGCATTTTCCTTAGTCATCTTATACATGAAGACCATCCCTGGTGGGGGTGGGTAGGAAAAAGTACCATTGTCACTAGTGACAGATCTGTATGAGGGGAATTAGTGATTGAATCACAGCACTTCTAAGTGTAGACCTTGTTATCTGCAAGTAGCCAAGGAGGAGGCTGTGGTGGAGGTCCTAGAGCAGTAGGGGAAGGAAAAAGTTGTGTTCTACTTGGCCCACCTTTGGGGAAGCGTAGGGACATGAGCCCATGGCGCTATGTGTGGAAAGGTAGAGGCAGCAGCCGGCAGTGTTGCCCTGGGGAGGTGACTGGGGAGGTGAGTATCACCAAGGTGAACAAACAAGCAGCACTCTGTGCTGCTGACATGGACTCGATGCACTGTGGTTTTTAACACAAGTTTCCGTGATGGTAAGACTGACATCAGACCGAGAATGGTCATTCACTGAGACAGCAGAGATAGAGATTGGAAAGAATACAACAGACTGTCGTACAAGCAGCAGCCACAGAAGCACTTCACGGGAATGTCCTGTTGACAGCCGCGGAAGGAGAGAGTCAGTGGCTGGCGCCAGGGTCTAAGCAGGGCCCTGAGGTCAGGGGCTGCCACCCCAGTTATCCCGCTGGAGGATAAGGGAAGCCCTCACATAACCAGGATCCTCATTATTACTAAGAAGTCCGCGGATTTCAAGCAGAACATACTACATCTTCCCCATAGCAAAACTGCACCATGCCTGTGCACTTCCTGAAAATAGGTAGCTAGAGTGGCTACAGGTCTGTGTGTACCTAACTGAGAGAGAAGGTGGTGGCTTCGTGCGACAAGTATTTGTTTGGAAAGCTGCATACCCACCTCATGTATTGACTCAAGAATCTGCAACCGCAGTGTGGTAAACATTTCTGAAGGAGGAGGATGTTGTGCAAAAAGAGTTACTAAGTGAAAAATAATATTGGCTGCATCTGAATTGCTTGTGGAAAGACCTGCTCGCAACTGTTCTCAGAAAACTCATTTCTGTGTTTTAGGCTGCAGCCAGACACCAGTGTTCCTACCTAATAAATATGCATGTGGATGAATTTTTAAAGACTGGAGGGATTGCTGAGTGGCTCAATGGCTTGGAATATGTACCACAACGACTGAGAAATCTTAATGAAATTAATAAGCTGCTGGCACACCGGCCCTGGCTGATCACGAAAGAGCACATTCAGGTATTGGGTGTTTCTATACAGACTCTGAGTTATACTTGAAGCTTGAGAGTATATTCATAGCCTCTTTTTACACATGCATTTATGGATAAGGACTTAATTTTAAACATCTATGTATTAGCAACTTGAGAAATAAGAGGGGCTGTATTACATATAGAAAAGATAATTAGAAATTCAGCAGGTTTCATTTAAGTGCAAATAAAAAATGATCATCCTCAAGTGTTACTCACTGGCTTGAACTTGTGATGTGACTGGCTGTGAGGAAAGTTGGCTTCCGTTGTCAAGGAGACAATAGGTCTGCAGCATCAAGGATGGCTGGCTTCTGGCTGCTACTGTCAGTGATATGTGCCCTTTTGTTAATAGAGTCTATAATGTGGGGAGATCTGTGAGTTTTAGCCCTTTGCTAGTTTTAACATTTCATAACTTAAGATTTATAAAGGAATGGTTTTGTAAATCAGAAGTGACTTGGCAGCTGGTGTGGGAATTACTGGCCAGATTTAAAAAATGAGTGTCTCCATCTCAGACACTTAGTTCCTTCCTTCCTTCTGTCTGATGTAGTGCTGTCCAGCAGTGTTCAGACAGGAGAAGCCTTCACCTCCACCTCAGACACCTGCTTACAAATACACATGCAATGTCTAATAATATGTAGAAATGCCCCGTAGACAAGTATGCTGTTACACCACATCTTTGTGATTTGTCCAGCTTTTAAAGCGAGCACCCTGCTTCTATCTTTTAAATATTAGATTGTGGTAACTTCTGGACTCTGAAGAACAGCATGTTTCTAGGTTTGTCTTCTGATTTTGTAGTGTGTAGTGTGTTAGTTACCCCAGAGAATTGATAGGAAGGAAATAGGCAAAAATTGGGGCAAAGAACAAGTCTCCCACCTAGGTCTGTAGACTGAGGAAAGAGAACTATGCACAGGGCAGGACAAGCCAGCACTTCAAAGGCAAGCGATGGTGTGGTGATGAGGACCCGAGCAGGGTCTGAAAGAAGCTGTAGCACAAAGAAGCTATTTATAGTAACATCAATTCAGAAGTGAAGTAGTTAGGCGCATTCCCAGTATATCTGTGTTTTTAAATCAGTATAAATGAATGTATCAAAATATCAGACTTGAAGGTCAGACAAATATATTTCTATGACTGTGACCATATAAAGATTACTATGTTTTAAATATCGAAAAGAACAGTACTAGCTATGTGAATGAATACTGAACTGATGGGAAGGAGTCTCTAGGAAGTGTTGGTGAAACTCACCCTTGGAAGTTTACCCTGCACAAAGCAACCTGTGAGAGAAAGGATTCGTTGCAAATTACAGTTCCAAGTTGCAGTCCATCTGTCATTTCAGGAAGTGAAGACAGGAACTTGAAGCAGCTGGCATACCCACACCTGAGGGGCAGAGACAATGCATGGTCATTTGAACTGCTCAGCTAGCTTTACCCTACTTTCATACAGCCTGGAATCCAGTCAAGAAAACCCTCACTAGAGTACACAGGGACTTGCTTTGTAGTTGACTTCAGGTACAGTTCAGTTGACAGCCAAGATTGGGCATTACAAGGTATTGTTTCAGTGGATTTAAATGTGGCTCTAGATATAGGCCAAATCAAATAGCACATGAAAAGTGTACTGACATGTCTTAAGTTCTTACTCGAGTGTACAGTCTGTTCGGTCCTGTGGCAGCGGGTTGAGGATCTCTACCAGATGCTTTCTAGAAGGAAACCAACAGCTGCCCGGTTAAACTGGATTTTCACGTGAATTTTTGGGACAGAGTATCCAAAATGCCTGAAAATGAATGGCCTTGGTAGGAACTGTCAAAGTCTCTTAACATCTGATTGATGTTTTAAAGTGTTTTAGAAGCAGACGATCTTTGTATAGTAGAGGGCATATTATACATGGTGCCACCACATAATTATGTTGTGGGCTTTGATAGTTCGCACATCACATTGTGTGACAGAAAGCCTATCTTTAATGTGTGAGGCATGTAAGAAGTTTTAGTTTGCATTACTGTGAGTGAGTGTGTGACCTGTGGCTTCCTCTGGCTTCTGTGTTGACCTTGGCTCACCATCTCATTTCAGAAACTTGTCAGGACTGGAGAGAATAACTGGTCGCTGCCTGAGCTGGTGCACGCCGTGGTCCTCTTGGCTCACTACCATGCCCTGGCCAGCTTTGTCTTCGGCAGTGGCATTAACCCAGAGACAGGGCCGGGACTCTCCAACGGGTTCAGACTAATCTCGGTGAACAGCTTCTGCGTCTGTGATCTGACCAACGACAACAGCATTGAGAACGCATCCCTGGCGGGCAGCAACTTCGGGGTTTGTTCTCAGCTGCTTCTCTTGAAACCTTGTTGATATTATCTAGACAGTTTTCACCGTGAAAATGCTTTTAGCAACGTAAAAGTTTCATCAGAACCTGAAGTTTTGACTTGTTTGTTTTTGTTTTTTATAACTTTAGTTCTTTATTATATGATACCACACCTGAACTTTTAAGTTGTTATTACTCTGGGATTCCTGGCAGCTCCATTTGTGATCTCCATGTAAATGTTGAAGACACTACAACCAGGAAGACTCTGGTTCCTTCTTTAAACACATACCTGTATTTACAGAGTTCACCTTTTCACTGACACACTGAAAACTCAGACTGAAATTTATCACTAAATTAACTTTATTTTTCTCTTCTTAAATGTTCTTCTAAATATCTTACTGCCCAGGTGACTTCTTGGCCTCAATTTCTTGGCATACACGATGTCTGCACCTTTCTTGGGATTTCCTACACCTTTCTTGGCACCTTAAGCAAAGAGATATTGTTAGAAATAACAAAAACTGAGCATTGATACATACAGTATCACAGGGTTTAAAGTCAGACCTATGCACAGCAGAGCTCAGAATGCTGCATCTGTCTGTAGGATGCTATAGACAACTAAGGAAAATGTGTCGGTACATTACAATTTACTATATCCCAAACACTAGAATTCTATAATTTAATGCGCGCGCACACACACACACACATATAATCTTTATATTTGTAACTGAGGTAGACTCGTGCATCTGAAAATATTTGAATATATCATATAATTGCTATGGAGTTAATAAAAAACTCAGTGTATTTTAAAATAGCTTCAATGAAATGTTAGTCACATATCACCCAATTTGCCCGTGAAAGGGTACAACCAAATAGTTGTAAGAATGATCCCAGAGTTTGGCAACAATAAATTTTAGGATGTTATCACGGTATAAAAAAGCAACTCCAGGGCCGTTAGCATCACATCCAGATCCTCTCCCCTGTGCCTAGCTCACGGTAGTCACTCATCTACCTTCTCTCTGTATGCCTGCCTACCCTAGCCACATTTGAAACCCCTGCCAATTAAAAGTCCACATCATTTGACCAGTATCTCTGCTGTAGCCTAAATAACTGTCGTGTGTGTACCGAGTGGAGGTGGAGGGGCTTCCTGGAGCAGTTTGCAGAGCCATAACCCCGACATTTCCGTGTTCTTCTCTTCCAGATTGTGGATTCACTAGGTGAGCTGGAAGCCTTAATGGAAAGGATGAAAAGGCTTCAGGAGGACAGGGGGGATGAAGAGACGACTCGGGAAGAAATGACCACGCGTTTTGAGAAGGAAAAGAAAGAAAGTCTCTTTGTGGTCCCTGGAGAGACTTTCCATTCATTTCCTCCCTCAGGTGCGTTCTTGCTCTTGGCTGGTTATTCAGGGACCATTAGCCACCAGCCTTTAGTATTTTCCATACAGCTCCGTATAGATGAGTCTGCTGACCTTTCTTCTACACCATCCACTCACGCTTCATCAACAGTGGGTGCATTCTGAGAGACTTGCAGCTATGCAAACACTGTGCGGTGCACCCAGACATACCTAGAAGGCGAGGCGTCTGAATATGAAGAGTGTGCAGCTGTTGCCAGCAGAATATGGCATGATACTCAACAGCACATGCGTGATAAGTGAAAGGGGCGTGTTCAGCAATAACATGGGAAGCACAGATGGCAAATACATACATCAGCAGCTCTGTCTTTTGTAGTGTCGTGGTACATGCCGTGTGGCTGGCAGGGCCCCGGGTGTATTCATAGGGCTGTCCCTACAAATACACACACACATACAAGCAAATATATTTATCAAGTTTAGAATGAAAGTAGAAATTAATTTCTTCATATTTAATACAAGAATTAGTATGACAAAGCTCGCTGATTCCATGTACGGAAGGGCTCTTGATTTTAATCCTGAAGAAAATACATGTTTATTGTATTAGTTTATGTTATCTTTATGAGAAAATCATTACTACAATGGAATGTCTTATATCTCACATTATTAACTACTCAGCTATTGAAATTGTATCTATACAGACAAAAAAAAAAGAAACAAAAACAACCCCCACCCAGAAAATTGTGTATATGTGTGTATAAAACGCTGTTTTCTTTCAGTACACACTTAAATATTTATTTAGTTAAAATCAGAATTAATTTTAGATTATTGATCACCACAGTAGTAATTCTTCAAGGTAAATCTAGAAAGAGTGGTGTCTATCAGTGCTTTGTGAGTCATAAATCCTGAGATGCAGAGCTGCTGTATTATTAGACATCAGCCTGGATTGGCTGGCCTATTAGACATCAGCCTGGATTGGCTGGCCTATTAGACATCAGCCTGGATTGGCTGGCCTATTAGACATCAGCCTAGATTGGCTGGCCTATTAGACATCAGCCTGGATTGGCTGGCCTATTAGACATCAGCCTGGATTGGCTGGTCCCATTGCTTTGGGTCTGTGGCCTCAAAAATCCAGGAAAGCACCAAGGTCCTACGGTCACTTTTGAGGGAACCCTAATCCTAAACACCTCACATGAGGCTACACTTTCTCAGGTCCAGCCTTTCCCATGTGGACATTGGAGGATCACTCAAGACCCAAGTGTATAAACTATAAGTAGTCAAGGGACTTTTGTATATCCCTTTTCATGGACAGATTGCTTAGAAAATGGGCCTTGTCTACTGCTACATCTAAGTTACAAGGTTTTTCCTGGGATCCACCTTTATATGGTTAGTTACTATTTATTTTGAAATTAAAATGTTCAAAATTATATATGAACAAAAAAAGTTAGTATCAAAGGGAAAGGGAGTCCTGTGATAGTCAAGTCCGGTGTTAGCATTTGCACATTAATTCAGGGCCACAGATACTCTTGTTTGGGTTTTACTTTGCAACCCTCAAAACTAGTTTTCCTAGTGGGCTCATCAGGCTGTGATTGCATTTTTCCTGTGTTTGGTCATTTGGTTCTGGTGAGATGGGATGGATGGAAGAAAGCATAACTTTTCTAGCCAGGTGCTGGTGTTCCGAAAATGCCATTGCTGTGCTAACGTTAATGTGAATGGATTCTGGACGGTAGGAGAATCAGTGGTTATGAATTTATTACACATAAGCCCTCATGCAAGGCATTCCATTCCTCATAGAGGAAAACTACTTAAAGCGTTAGATGTCAAGGGGACAGATCGCCTGGGTGGAATATTTGCCCCGTATGCACAGGACCTGATCCTGGAGAAAGTAAAATGATAATAAAGGAAAGAAAAGCTTCACATCAGAACTGACTAATAGTTACTTATTTCTTAAGTGGATTCTTCTTTTTAATATAATAAATTAAACATGAATGTGGCTGTTAGAGGTACAGCATCACACCTGCCATGCAGGAAATATTCAGCAGATGTCAGTTGCTTCTTTGCCTGAGTAATGAAGGCTTAGAATTCAGTGTTACTTGTGGCCTAGGAATTTGATCCTCTCTGCTGTTCTCAGGCATCCTGAAATCAGTCATGGTCCCAAATACAAAAAAGAGACCTTTTCTTACTAGAATATTCGTGTATAGTCTTTCAGAAGAGTTTATATGATTGTCTCTCAAACTCTTAGATTTTTTTACCCAGATGAGAATTACATTTTTCTATTAAAGAATTAATTTAACATTAATTAGATGACTTACAAAGAGCATATTCTTTGCATAGGAATTACACTATTATTTTGAGAATGGTATGTTCTTTATGGAATAAAGAAAAACAAAATCTGCTTATTCACTGTTAAATAGTTGAAACCGAGGAAGAGTGGAGTAATTACAAAGACACGAATCTAAAGGAACAGTGAGTTAGGAGAAAATGACTTTCAGCTTAAGATAGTGTACTCTAAGCATTTACACTTTCTCAGTAGGAAGCTTTCTCCATCGAGCATGCTGAACTATCGTAAATAGCAGCATCACCTCCCTGGCGGCCCTGCACTCTGGGCAATGCTCTGAGCATGGCCTCAGCAGCTCGTGTTCTGCTCCTGCGTGCATGCTCAGTGCAGAGAGGCTGGCCCCTTGTCTTGGAACTCCATGGCTCACCTCTTGACTGGTTTGCCTCCTAGAAGATAACAGTGAACTAAAGTGAAGGCATTTTTGCTGTGACAGTGTAGTGGGATGCACTTTTAAAAGATGTGTCCTCAAACTCAGTCATATCTCCCTCGTCCCTTGTCTTTTCCCATACCCTACTTCATCCCCTTGAAGAGATAAAACAAGCTTTAAATTCACAACCCTTATCTCCTGTCTCTAAATTCCTAAATGCCATATACCGACCTTTTGTCACCGTGTAGTCAACACTGTCCCTTTTAAAACCTAAAGAGAGGAGGGAACTGGAGTTTAGGTCGGTTGTCTCGGCTGAGTGAGTATCCTGAATGCCTTCATTGTCCCTTAGATTTTGAAGATGACACTATCATAACAGCTGACGTCTCTCGATACATCGAAGACCCAGGTTTTGGGTATGAGGACTTTGCCAGGCGAGGAGAAGAGCATTTGCCAACATTCCGAGCCCAGGTACACAGCGCTTTTAACTTAGAGAAATAGAGAGGATCCCTGCAAAGGAGTAACTGTTAAAATGTAAATAAAGTGTCTTTTAAAGTGGCCAATACACATTTTGATAGTATCTTAAAACTTTTTGTCTAACCTAGTTTTCAATCCAATCTGTTTGATGTTTTCATAGGAAGGAAGGTAATTACTTCAACGTATTTGTCCTTAAGAAGTCACTGGGAAATAGTATGCTTGGTTTAATTGCCTGCATTATGCAGGATAGTTACATACATTCCTGCCGTTCTTAGGGGGCAGGGAAGAAATCAAATAATTGTGGTGATGTTTATGATAAGGCATTTTGAGATTTGACTCCACTAGTAGTTTGTGCTCAGTACAATGGCACTCTGGGGGACGGGAGTTAAATTCAGACTCTTTCATGCTTGAGTAAGTTTGGTGACATAGCAATAGTCAAGAACTTCTGGATCCTTTCAGATAAAGTATAGTGTGCATAGTACCTGTCCAGAAGAGGTGGCCAGAGTATATCACAAACATGCCAGGTCCCAGACCCTGTGAGACAGCCCTGGCTCTGCACTCTGCACCCTGACCAGAAGCATTCTTGTAAAGTTACCATCCTAGAACTGAGTAGGAAATAACCCCCTAACTTTCTTCAATAGTTTTATTTTATTTTTAATATATATATAAAAATGCAGAGTTTAACAGAGTGTCCATTTTGTAAGTGACCAGTTTTTCTGCACCCAGGACTATACCTGGGAAAACCATGGGTTCTCACTGGTGAACAGGCTCTACTCTGACATCGGGCATCTGCTGGATGAGAAGTTTCGAATGGTCTACAATCTCACCTACAACACAATGGCCACCCACGAGGACGTCGACACGACCACGCTACGCAGAGCTTTGTTCAACTACGTTCACTGTATGTTTGGGATCAGGTACGTCCACTGTGCACACAATCTTATACAGTTTTGAGTGTGAATGGAAGCATTTGTCTTATTTATAGTCTGTCTGGGAGTACATCTTCCTGGGGGCAAGTGCCACCTGATTTGAAAATTAATCCCAGCCGGGTGGTGGTGGCACACACCTTTAATCCCAGCACTCGGGAGGCAGACACAAGCAGAGCTCTGTGAGTTCGAGGCCAGCCTGGTCTACTGAGCTACACAGAGAAACTCTGTGTCAAAAAAACAAACAAACAAACAAAAAATTAATTTCCTCTTAGAGATTATTTTCTTCATTGAAAGTGTGTGAGTCTGGGACTTAGGGAGATGGCTCAATGAGCACAACTTGCCATGTCCCATCCCCAACACATGTAACTCCAGCCAGGGACGTGGGGGCAGGGCCCCTAGGACTCACTGTCTATCCAGCCTTACCCAGTTGGCAAGTTGCAGGTACTAGAAGAGACCTTGACTCAAAACCTCCTGTGGACAGCATCTGAAGACTCTTGCTAAGGTTTGGCCCTGGCTCCCACACACACTTCACATAAGTAAATTACAGATAAATAAAAAGGGCGTTGTGAACCCTGATAATGACACAAGGGTAATAGTAAGACTTCATTAAGACATGGGAATACGAGACTGAATAGATCAGTGGAGGCGAGCGGAAAATGGCGTCTGTTTTCATAGCAGTAACAAATTCAGGTGTGTATGGCTAGTATGGCTTGCCTTATGAAGGAATCATAATTAAGGGACTCTGCCCACCCAACACTGAGCCACTCAAGAGCACCAAGGTGAGGCGGTTGGCTCACGGATTAATTAACAGCCTCTACCCTGAAGAAGTTAGCTGGAGGAGATGGTGAGGCCTGGAGGGAAGGGGACTGCAGAGGCCGAATGAGGGAAGCTGCTTGAGCTGGACTCTGCAAACTTCATTCTCAAGGGTCACCCAACTCACAACAGTGTGTTAGACCCAGGGTTTCAGTCCTCTGCCTGGGAAAAATGTGACTAGCCTTTATTGGCTGGCCTAACTTGCAGATTCAGTCCCTTCTAGTATTTTCTAAAATGCTTCTCTCAGAGAACACCTACCCTGCCCTGTTTGAAAGTCATAGCTCAATCCTCCCAAGTTGCAAATCCATTTTTCTTTTCTTTCTTTTTTGTTTTTTTGTTTTTGTTTTCTGTTTTGTTTGTTTGGTGTTTGTCCGTTTTGTTTTGTTTTAGATTTTGGAGACAGGATTTCTCTGTGTAGCCCTGGATGTTCTTGAACTCGCTCTGTAGACCAGGCTGGCCACAAAATCAGAGGTTTGCCTGCTTCTGCCTCTGGATGGCCACCATCCTGTCCATTTTTCTCTGAGTAGTTATCACCACTTGCAAACTGAATGTTTGCTTTGTAGTGTTTTTGTTTGTTTTTGTTTTGCTTTTATACCTTAAAAGAGTTTAGGCTCTGTGACAATGGAGTTTTTCCTACACTGTCACTACAGAATCCCAGAAACAAGGGTGTATGACACGCCGTGCACTCAGTAAATTCTCCTGTGACTTACTTACTGATGTCAGTGAAGCAGGGTCTGAGCAGGAGCTGGAGTCTCACATGGCATGACTGTCATCCGCAGGTATGACGACTATGATTATGGGGAGGTTAACCAGTTACTTGAACGGAGCCTGAAGGTTTACATCAAGACAGTGACCTGCTACCCTGAAAGAACCACAAAGCGCATGTATGACAGCTATTGGCGACAGTTCACGCACTCAGAGAAGGTCAGTGTCATCACCAAGCAGACCTTTTCCGTCATGAATCAGGGAGGGTGGTATTAATAGGTGGGTGCCGTGGGACTAGGAACTAGCTATCGTTCTTCACGTTTTATTAATCTAAAGGATATTGAGTACTCGTGAGATTTTAGATGTGTGCTCTACCTAACAGGTATGTGCCTGTTGCTGTGATAAACACCACGATGAGAGCACCTTTGGGAAGAAGGGTTTATTTCGGCTTGCAGCTCTCAGGTCACACAGGTCATAGTAGGAACCGGGAAGACCAGGGACACCGTTTGCTGCCTTCCTCAGCACACTTTCAGATAGCACCCAGGACCTGCTCAAGGGTGGCACCAACCGTCTATTACCAACCAAGATGCCCTACGCACTTGCCCACAGGCAGTCCTGTGGAGGATTCTCAGTTAAAATTCCTTCTCCCACATGAACCTGCCTCTGTCAAGTTGGCATAAAAACTAGCCCAGGACAGGGTGCAACATTAATTTTAGCATCAGCCTTTGAAAGGTTGGACGTGAATACCAGTAAATCTACCATTCTATTAAAATCCCATGGGAGGCAAGGCTTGTTAGAATTATACCCAGCCTGGAAGGACTCCATTTAGAAACTCTTGGTAGCCACCAGCTTGCTGTGAGAACAAAAGTATCTCATTGTAATTTAGTATTTTGCCACTAGAGTGAAGGGCCTGTGAGCCAAATGTTTTGTTATGTAAAAATATCTGTAAACGGAGCGCATAGGAGTTATTGTTTAGATTAGAACTAGTAAGTGTCAAGAATCTTCACCAACATTACAGCATAAGGTCTAGCTTTTCTAGGCCTTTGAAGCATTGAATCTAAGAGTGTCCTTCATACTACCATGTTCAAACTGTAGGGAAGAAACTCCTGGGGTTCTAACAGCCCCGGTGATGTGTACGGCCTTGGCAACGTATGCCATGGCTCCACTTCTAAATCATTTTTGAAGCCATGAAGTTAGTCATCCACTAGGCATATTACCCATTTAATCTTCAGCCTCGGTGCGTCTTTGTGCTGTTTTATGTTTGCATTAGATTTTTCTCCCTTTCTAGAGACTGTCTGTTGTCATCAGGAGAATATGCCCAACAACACATTCAAGTGATAGGAAGGAAGGCATGGCAATAACTCAACATTAGAACATTTCCCTCAGGTCAGTTTAGAAAGTATAGAGGATTTACATCAGCCTTTCAGCTTCGAGGTTTTCCCCAGAGAGGTGTCCTGGGATTTTACCAGACACTCACACAAGCTTAGTTGAGCTTCAGCTTCATGCTAGGGTATAAAGTTAAAGTGGTAGTATATTTTTAACTTTACTTTTTTAATTTAAACTTGTAAATGCTAGGAATGTGTTTTTCATTTAAATTTACTATCCACAGTTCAATTTTGAATGTTCCTCGTGTGTCTGTGCATACCCAGGCCTGTTCATAGTATCTGGGTACACTTGTGAATGTGGTGCCGGAAAACCTCCACGGGCTCTTGTACTGTGTGTAGTTACTGAGGCAATGCTCTTTGGTTTCCAGGTCCACGTGAATCTGCTTCTGATGGAAGCTCGGATGCAGGCTGAGCTGCTTTACGCCCTGCGTGCCATAACTCGGCACCTGACCTGAAGCGCCTCCAGGAGCGTGCCGGCATGTGTCAGGGCCTCGCACACAGGACTCATATCAGAACTTGTTTGTGATGCAACCTCAGCAGTTATTCAGTTCCTTAGTGTCAAAGTTTAGCTGTCGGGGTTCTTTGTTTTTGTTTTGTTTTGTTAGTGTTGTTAGGGTTTATTGGGGGGGGTTGTTTGTTTGTTTGGTTGGTTTTTTTCTGGCTGTAATGTGCAATGGTGTGTTTTATATTTCTCGATGCTTAACATTGCTAACAATTGCAGAAGTAACTCTGATGAGCACTACTTTACATTGCTGAGAGTTGGATTTTGAATCTGACCATAAATCATGAACTGGTTTGTTAATGCTTCGCTTGAGGACTTTGGAGTTCATGTGTATGTGTATTATTTTTCTTTACTTTAAAAAAAAAAAAAACCATAAGGAAAAGTGCTTACCATCTGCTCAAGAAGTTGTTTTTCAGATATCAACATTCAGCAAAGAATGGTGTCCTCTACGGCTCTGACATGGCCACGTGTGCCCTGAGTCTGGGGAAACGTGCTGCTGAGCCAAGCTGCTCCTGGGACACACGCCTGTGTCCCAGGAGATGATCAGGAACTGTTCTGCTTTTGTTTATCCAATTGTTTTCTTACACTGCTATTGGCAATAACGTGAAATGTGATACAGGCATCATCCATAATTTAATGTGAAATTAATTATGATGAATTCTATAGCATGCTACTGAAATGCCAAATTCAGCTACTTTCTTTGTCTTCTAAAGCAGAGGCCTCACGTTCCCACATGGCTGCCTGTGTGACAGTGGACTTAGGCACAGTCCCCTGAGTCCTGCACTGTGGCCCCTGTCGTGTCTAGTAGCTGGTGCCCACAAGGCTGCTTATGCTCGGCACACACAAACAAACCCACACCAAACAACCCGACCAAATGTCTCTTTGCACGTTCTCCTTTCCTGGGAGTTAAGGAAGGCTACTTAACATGCCCCTATTTTTTCCTGTTACACTTTTGGAAATTATTTTACATGATTTTCCTCTTCTAATAGGTTAAGTAATTTGTTATTCGAAGGTAAAAAATTGTGTTTAATGTGATTGAGCAGCAACAAAACAGTGCAATGTTTTTACGAATCGGCTCAACTTCTCCCTATCATGTCGCTGCAAAAGTGTCCTTTCAAGCAGAGCCATAAAGAAGTGGTACTCAAATTTCTTTATCGTGCTTGGCGTTTTTCAGTTTTACCTTGCTGAGGTTGACCCATGATTTCGCCATGCCAAAGCATCCATTCCCCAGAAAAATCTGTTTGGACAACTAGTTTAAAAAAGAAATACATTGTCATAGGGGAGAAAAAAGGCAGCCAAAACGTCACAGTTTTGCATCAGTCTGTGTTGTCTGATTAGACTGTCTTCAGAGAGCACAACCTCGTGTGTTTATAGCTTTACTTTGTGTTATGTTAAGTGAACCAGTGAAGTGCCTAGAGAGCTGCTACAGCACCCAGAGGACTCAGCTGCACGGCCTACGCACCTTGCTTGAGGAAAGGTGACTCGCGTTTTACACATACGTGCTGACCTAGAACATACCCGTCTCTGTCATAGTAAGTCACCCGGGGAGCCCCACACAGTGCTCGCTAAGGGTGCTAAGGGTTTCCCCGTCACGTGGGTGTATTTTTTCTCTTATGAAAGAACTGCGGGCCGGCATTCTGCTTGTCTGTCCAGTCTGCCCTCCTTTTCTGCGGTGTTAGCTCCTTTCGCTTAGCACTGTTCCAGAGAGAACAGTGATGGCTACAGACCGGTCAGCATAGGTGGTTCTGCTGTGTTGGACTCCAGGATCTTGTTTAAATCCTCCACGTGAGGAAGAAGTCTCTAGGGTGATTGAAGACAGGGTGGCTCCTTTAGAGACTGCTCAGAGAGCTAGTGCCAGGCTCTGTGTTCTGCTTGCTGTGTCCACTGCGTTCATCCTCTTCTCTAGATGTGTGAACTACAAGGGAAGTATTTACAGGGATGGAAAACACAGGTGGTGGCATAAATGTCCATTTGCTTTCCCCAGTTTTGAGGCTTCCACATTGAGGATGTAATTTATCATTGCATTTTTAAGTGTTAGAAAACGGTTTCATTTGGTAACCCCATGTTTTTGTTCAGGTGAACTGAACTGACTAAGAGGAGGAATTCTCACAGATCCCCGAATAAGCCTTAGGCCAAAAGGGAAGGAAAGGCCTAAGTAAAGCACTCGCTTTTTGATTTTGGTTTTGTGTTGCCCCTTAAATGTAAGTAGTAGAGATTGGACTGTGGAAATATTAGTGCCTTTAATAGATATCTCTCCTCACGAAACTTCCTTTTAGTTCAACAGACTAATTAATAATCAGAAAAAAAACAAGTTGACTTGGAACCGTGAGTAAAAACACAGCAATGTATTTATGAGCCTCCGCAAACCAGCGTCAGAAACTTGCTTTGTGAAGGTGGTTCCAGCTTCATGCTACAGCATGTACCCAGCATTCCCGGTGTGAATGATGCTCTAAGAGTTGCCTGTCAACCCACTTTATACAGAACAAACTTGAAATTCTGATGTGGTTTTCCAGGGTGGCATTTCTTTTCAGAGTATTGAATTTACAATATAGTAATTTATAGTGTAGCTTTTTATACTGAAATGTGATATTTTTCAAAGGAGCTATCTGACTCAGTCGGTGTAATATCAGAGCCTGTGGTAAGCTGAGCTGCACCCGGGGCTCACGTTGTGCCAAACGGAAGCAAGCGTGCGAGTGTGTGGGAAGCCCTCAACTCCTTGCTTCTTGTGTTAAGATCAGCCTGATAATCCCAATGGACATACAGGAACAATTTGGAATTTCACATTTGCCAGCATCTGTGCCAATTCTTAATTTCTCAGACCGCTATCAGAAACATTATGGAAGCCAGGCATGGTGGCACCAATACATGTGATCCCAATACATAGAAGCCTGAGGCCAGGGGATGATGGTTTTGAGGCCAGCCTGGGCTACATAGTGAGTTCAAGGCTAGCCTGAGCTACATAGTGACACCTGTCTCAAAAACTTAAAGAGAGATGCAAGTACCCTTAACCATGAAAGTGGGAGTGACCAGAGGGCCCAGGCACCGCCCCAGAAGCGGCTTCCTCAGGCAGACTCAGGCCACACTGATGGGAAAGGGCTTTGAGGTGGACTGCTTTTAAAATAAGGACCTTGTCTCATCCCAGGAGTAATCGCCCCCGTAGGGCTCTCTGTAAGTCAGGGGTAGCTAACGTGGAGCCCAGGGTGTAGCCTTGGCCTTTTGAACCAGTTTTAAACCCAGGAATAGCGCAGCTGTACAGGGCTATTTTTAAAAGAGAAAACTCAAGTAAGATTTATATAAAGGTCGTGTAAAATTTGAACCAGAGCCCTATTTTGTTTGTGTTGTGTCTATTAAAGATTCTACATAATTCTAAAAGCTAATGGATATCATCCAGGGAAGTTCTTCCTCCCCATCCTCAGAAGGTTTTGCTAATCCAAAATTGTAGAATTTTATGCCTCACCAAAGTAAATTTACCAGCACAGAGTTATAGATTGACTACTACTTAAAATAGTCATGACTTCCAACAGCAAGTGCACGCGGGTCTGAATGCAAGGCTCTTTTAAACTGTGAGACGAGGACAAGGAACGGATGCGGTGTCCATTGAAAGGGTACGTGCTGCCACAGGCACGCAAGGATCTTACTTAGTGCTGTACTCGAGGACAATTCTAAATCACCGCTGGCATTCTTTGTGAAACGGACCGTTTTGCATGAAATAAAAAAGCATGCGAGATGGCCCACATAGGCAGTGTGTAAGCATTCTTAGTGGTACCTCACCAGCAACCGGAAGGGCATTCCTCGGAGGGGGCAGTGTGAGCCACGTGCCCGTGCAGTTGGGACCAGCTGTAGCCGGCCGTCACCACGCACTGTTCCCACGCAGCTGCCACACCATGAGTGTACCCTGTCGGTCCAGTGCTAACCCACACATCTGCAGCTGACCCCACTGCCCCATCATCCATACCAGCTGAGGGAAGGCTGAGGGGAGGAAGGCTGCTGGTGTGCGCCGGGTCTGGAGTGGGACTGAGACAAGGCTGGGCCCGTGAGGAGGAGGAGGCTTCCAGTAGCGCCCGGAACGCAGCTAAGACTCTCATGCACCCACCAGCCTTCGTCCACCCTTTCCTGCCTTTCTCTTCCTCCAAGTGCCTCCGCCTGCACTCACACCCTACACTCCCCAAGCCTGCCTGGGTCTTAATGCCTGCCTTCGGTCGAATATCACCAGCCTCCTGCCGAGCATCCAGGGTGTCTTCTTCTGAGTATGTCTCCCCCATCGTTAAAAAAAAAGACGGCTTTCCCAGACCCCTTCTGACCTCTCCACCATCCATCTATAGTTTTGCCTCGGACACCTCGCCCTGTACACCACAGCACCCGATGTGCCCTGCCCACCCCCTGCTGTTCATGCCCTCTTCCCAGCTGCCAAAATATCTTGCTCTCCTCTACCTCATCCCCCAAAGAGCCTATAAATTCAGAGCACCTAGCCTCCTCATGTGTCCATTCTCTGTTGTTCAATAATACCACTCCATATTTTAAATAAACCGTAAAACATTTGCCTTCTATCAAAGTAGGAACCTTTATATTTATACATGATACAGAAATTGAACTATTTCTACCATGCAGAATTTAACATTTAGCAAGGATTCAAAGTGATTGAATTTCTGGCATAACTTGGTCCCTATTAGATGGTAATACTAGTAGTAATAGTTCTGGTTGCTTGAATGCAGAGTTAGAATCCTCCAACAGTGCAGATGAGCCTCTAAGTCTTCAGTGGGACAGGACATCTCTGGCAGACAAATGAGCAGTATGTTGTCATGTCATCCATTTCACTGGCGGTATTTGGGCCCTAAAACACATTTCTCATGGGAGGACATCTAATAAAATGTATTTGTTTAGAGTATCAGATTGGATCACATTAGCCTATTTGCTGTGCAATATAGATAAAAATCCCACAAAACCGAGTACAAGAGCTTCTAATCCCATTCCTCCCCCGGTATCACTGGAAGGAAAGCTTACTTTGTGGGATAAGAAGGAAATGTGTTGGCTTGAGCCTTGCACCCCAAGCTGCTCTTCGTGTGTGTCCAGATAGTGTCACTGAGGAGGACGATGTTGTCTCTGAGGAGGCAGTAACGTTGCTTCTTCCTCACAGCCACGCTCCTAACAGGAGTCACGTGCTCACACGGAGGTGGCTGTCTGCTTGGGAGTGTAGATCTGAGATCTCTGGTCATCTTCAGATGTTTCCACCCCAGGCATGAGCACTTCACTGGCAATGTCCGATTGATGCATTTAAGGACCCGAGAGTGCAGAAGGGAACCTAGTTA